TGTGTGTCGGCTCTGTGGCTAAGTCGATGCGAACGCTTCGTAATGCCGGGATGCCGGGTTCGATCCTAGCCGTGGGCCATGCACCGTGCGTTGGTTTCAACAGTGGTACCAAGAAAGCCGACCGTCCAGGAAGCAATGGCAAACTGCTGGACGTAAATTTGCCTAGAGGGATCACACAGCAGCCAGGGGCTGTTGGGGTTGGTTCTGCAACGTCCTGTAAAGGATACGCAACTACCTAACCTTCTCCTGTGTTTATTCGAAGATGTAACTGCGTTGTGTCCGTTTGCAGTATGACTGTGAAATATGCACCTTTCATCCGACGTCTCCAGGCGTATTTTTAACGGGTTAGCCTTCCCGGTAATGCAGGGGCTGTGGTGGGCGAGGGGGCTGGGGGGAGGGGGTGCTAGTTGTAGTTACATGTGATGTGTGAAGGAGAAATGTGAGATTACGGAGAGGTGGGGGAGTACTCCCACAGTTAGTGCTCTTATAGACAGTGCTTTCAAAACTCGATATTGTTTATACTCAGTACTCTAACACATGGCACTCTTGCACATTGTACTCTCACACATGATAACTTCACATGGCTTCAGATAACAGGTGCCGCTAAAATAACATATATGTGTCACACACGTGCTTTCACATACGATAATATCATAAACTGCGTACTGACACATGGTACTCTTAAACATAATACTTTACCACTTGAAACTTTTACAGACTTTACTCTAGAAAAACAGTACTTTTGCACGTAGTACTCCTTGAGATATTCATCGAAAACATATTACTTTCACCAGTGATACTCTCACAGATAGTACTTTCATTCGTGATACTCTCACAGATAGTACTTTCACAAGTGATACTTTCAGACAGTACTTTCACACGTGGTACTCTCACAGATAGTACTCTCACACATAGTATAATAACACATTGTACTCTCACAGAGAGTACTCTTACTCATGGTACTCTCACAGATAGTACTCTTACTCGTGGTACTCTTACTCATATACCACACGTGGTACTCTTACATATAACTACTTAAAACTTAGTAATTGTCACAAGTGGTACTCTCACAACCTAGTTATCTAAATCACATAAAACTTTCACACACACTCTTACATAAAGTATTCTCACACAAAGTACTTTCACGTGTAGTACTCTCACAAACAGTACTCTATCACATTTGGTACTCACAAGTTGTACAAGAGTATGTCTGGCAGCCAGATCTGGTCGGATGGGATGCGGACGTCTGAGATGTTCTCGTACTGGGTTTTGTCCCAGCGGAGCAGGACATCCTGCCAGCTCTGTGGGAGAATGCAGCACAGCACTCAACAATACGCAGACATGATCGCTCCTGTTAGCACTACTTATACCCAACATCAATATTCAGAGCTAATTCATTTTTTGTTCTTCGGGGAAGAGGGTGGCGGTTTAAAAAAAAACTTCCTTCTTCCAACGTGTCTTTAAAAAGGACCCAGTACCCATCACAAACGTGAGTAGGTATCAGGTAAAGTTCTGGAAAGTAAAGGCGGCTGGTGTTATACTACCCCATAACAAGCATATCGTAAGAGTCGACTAATGAGGGATGTTTAGACAAGTCGGGTTGTGCATCCGCCTCAGAGGGGAGAAACCAACTGTCTGCATAAAAAAGCCAGATCTGTAAAACGGATGCACATCCACGTCCTTGACCAGTGCAATGAAGTCGATCTTCTCGATTGAAACTTTTTTTTTTTTTGGGTGTGAACTTGAAGTTATGATTTTGAACACATGACATGTGTCAAGGTTGTTATCAGGGCTGCTTACAGTTTTAAAACAAATGACAAAATACATAAATACCTTCTCATGTAGTATTGAGGGCTGAGTGGTCTCGAAGTATGGCGTTCGCCTCGACTATTGGAGGTCCCGGATTCAAAACCCGGTGAAGGCTGCGATTTTTTTTCCAGGTGGACTTCTTGTAATGTTCCCTGGTTTCTGGGTTGTAAGACCGGACGCCCGTGTGTATCGTTGCGCACGTATAAATCTTTTGGCAGTTGAAAATCGACAAAAAAAAGGAAGCTTAACGGCGCTCCCCGGGCAAAATTTGGAGTTCAAAATCTACCCCACCGTATTTCAGGATCCTCGCCGGTACAACGGAGTTCGAGCACTGTGCTGAGATTTTTCACACCCAGGCTTGAGTTAGAAGTAGAACGGAGCACTTATGGGCTACACCAGTGGGCAATGATGTTGATCTGTTGAAGAAACATAAACTTCTCATACACATGTCAAAGCACACAAACCGGAATGCCACAACTACTTACGTATTCATACCAGACGTTTGTTTTGAGAATCTGGTTCTTAACGTCCACGTCCAGGATCTGTATGAGAGAGAGCCCAAACTCCACTCGGACCGAGTCTGTGGTGTTGATGACGGGCCGTCCCTCCTTGCCTTGTCGCTGGTAGCGCTCTATCAGCTTCTTGATCAGCACTTTCTCTTTGGAGGTAATATTGAGCTCGTTGTCAAAGTCTGCAAAAACAAGCATTATTTATATATATATATTTATGCCCAGCTTGCTAGCGTAGTTGGCTAAATTTGACTTCGCGGCGACCGAGGGACGAACACCTTGTGGTCCGGGTTCACGCCCAGGGGTTGGCAGAAAAGACACTTTTGTCCCAGATTTACGGTATTTATCATGGAATCAAGACCGATGGGTTGCGATATCGAAAGTACCGAGTCAAAGAACTCATGGTTTCTGGATATTATATATATATATATATATATATATATATATATATATATATATATATATATATATATATATATATGTATGTGTGTGTGTGTGTGTGTGTGTGTGTGTGTGTGTGTGTGTGTAAACAAGTGTAATCATTACACATGCGAATTGATCACGTCTTGCTACTAATCTTCACATGTATTTATGTAAAGAAGGAGTGAAGAAGATCCACTAGCATGAGCCATCATTGCAGAGACAGCTTTTATTGATTGATTACATTTTCATCACTAACCGATTTCCTGAAATAATACTGGCTGGCCAAGGTAGGACCAGTAATGGAAGAGCAACCAGAATTTTCTGCCGGAGTTTACAGACGGTGAAAGCGAAAAAGAAGAGGCGGAGGAAGAAGAAGAAGAAGAAGAAGAAGAAGAAGAAGAAGAAGAAGAAGAAGAAGAAGAAGAAGAAGAAGAAGAAGAAGAAGAAGAAGAAGAAGAAGAAGAAGAAGAAGAAAAAGAAGAAGAAGAAGATAGAAAGAAAGAAAGAAGAAGAAGAAAAAGCAGTAATCTAAGGCTACCACCTTTCCAACCCCCCCCCCCCCTCCTCCTTTCCCCAGCATACCCAAACGGTGTAAACCAACTTATCAATGGAGTTTAACCTACAACTGGTGGTGTGCAAATGTGGAGACCATCGTAAAAATAACCCACAAAAATACGCCTTCCGTCTGCCCGTGTAAATCCACCTTACATGAGGGTAAAATGTTGCACTTCCGCTAGCGGCATAAATAAAGCAAACGGTTTCAATCTGAGTTCTGTCGTGCCTGAAGTGCTGACCAACTCACATTCAAGACGGGAATGGAAGTGGGAGCTTTGTTTTACAACCTTCAATTTGTATGTGGATAATGACAGGGCGCTTCAGTCCCGAGTTTCTTTTCTATCTTGCCCTGTCAGTTCTTCAGAAACAAACAGACCAGGAACCCACGAGGCCTTAAATGTAATAAAGACAACAAATGAACAAGAACTAATTGAAACTCATATAAAGAAGTAGAGAGGGGGGTTATTAATATAAACTAGCAGAATGTATAATGGAATCCGAGTGGCGTTGCTGTGTTGCCACCTGTAGGAAGCTGCATTTGTTCCAGAGTAAACGAGCCATAGTAAAGTGACACATCTATAATAAGAGCCAGCTTTCTTACAACAACTGAAAGCTCTAATTACTATGCCTGGAAGTGAGCCTGTCACCTCCAAGCGACAAGGCGCCACGCAGCAGAGAAAAGTGTACTGAGAAAAGTGTACTAACACGTACAGTTTTCGACTTTTATGTTGTCTAATGTGACCTCATATCTCTCTCCTCCTCTCTATGTGTGCCTATCAGTTCTGCTATATTTGCTTATTTGTAAATATCTTCTCTTTGCCACTAGGCGTCGCAATTTAACCGTTGATATGTAGCTGAGCCTGGGCGTACTCGGTTGCAAGGTGTTATAGGATGTAAGGTACTAAACTGTCACTACACCTTTAATCCATGTTATTCTAGCTTTCCCTCGGCTCTAGTTTTTTTTTTCGTGATGTACGCTCTGGCTGCAGGCATATTGAAATTTATCTTCAGCAGGTGGCCGAACCATTTGTCTTTGCTTTCCTGTGAATTTAATGACCGGCATTGTAGAGAAAAAGTAAGTAAAGTAAAGGACCCTTTTCCACGCCTTTAGCCGTATAGGGCACATAGGGCTAGATCTATATTTTATAGACTAATCGGTACAAAATGGGTGATGTGGTCTTTACTTCCCGGGACTGCTCCCAGTACCCACTCAAGGCTGAGTCGACCTGGAAGCCAAGGTAATTTTTTTTTAAAGTCCGGCTCCTCCAGGGAGCGAACTCACGACCTTCTGATCCGAAGCGAACGTTGCTGAGAACATGTTGAATAGAAAATGAGTTGAATTTAAGAGGAGGGAAGAAATAAGAGAAATGTATGGGCGACGCTTGCATAAACAATTATAAGACAGCGAAGATGGCACTATATTAGATACACTCTCAAATAGATCAACAGAGAATCACAAAAAAGGCACATAAATGTGAAATAGAGGGAAACAGGAAACTAGGAAGTCCAAGAGAAACCATAAAGTGAACACTGATGAGAGATGCCAAAGGTGCTGGACTGAATGATTTCAGTCATGGTATTAAAATGATTGCACGGGATAGAGAGGAATGGAGAAATAGACCGCAAGCCATGTAGAGGACGTGATGACACAACAGGACAATAAATGGATGGATGGATGAGTGAATGAATGTTCCCATAATCTCATCGTGTCTGGTTGTGATCTCAGGCTTCCTGAAACATCTCATTTCACAGATAGTGAGTTCTACACAGCAGCTTCAAATGCAAGCCGGCCTATATTCACTTAGCAGTCATTTTGTTTAGGTTTCTGTAAGGTCACACTCAGCGTTCAACGCAGTGAGTACCCAAGGCTTTTTACTGTACACACAAACATTTGCCGTGTTTCAGAACGATGATTTCCACAGTCAAAAACCTTTGCTGGTCGAAAGGCTGATCAGTAGCCTTGTCAATTCCCTCTGTAAAATTTTCTAAAGTCCGTTCACAATAAACCACAACAAACCCGCTTCGACTCTGTTCTCTCTTTCCAGAAAGCCAGAACAAATTGATATATACCTAGAAGGCAACAACATTCTAAAAGAGGACAACTCCACATAATTGGGAGCTGGTAAAAGTAACGTTGGTCTCCCCACGCTACTTCTGATAGGTAGTTTTGAACCTGTCGCCTTGGCTAAAGGTTACAGGGGTGTTCAGCAATGCCGTCGCTATCGCAGGTTGTTTATTTAAGCACGCCAGCGCTTTTAACACTCACCAAAAAAAAAAAAAAAACATGGAGAAACTGGTTCTAACACAACGCCCCTAGAGAGTGCTGCTACCTATGTCACAGGCATTATCTTTTTCAGAAAAAAAAACACGTAAATACAAGACACCACAGAAAGCAAACAACAGAGCACGACAAACCCGTAACCTCCAGGAAAGTCTACCAGAACAATAAACTTGTAAATGAAAAGTGACCTACTTTTTTTGGGGAGACTAACGTGAACCTGGAAGCCAAATTCCCCTCCCCTGCCCCTGAATTCTGCAAAAGCGTTGGTACTATGTTTTAAATTCACTCCAAAGAACATCTTTGAGTACCTGGGACCATCCAGTATTTAAGGGGTGTTATGGTTTAGGGTTATTATCTTTGTCAGCGCCAACCGCCGCAGACATACCGACTAACACTAACTCTAAACCTAACTCTAAACCGAACCCTAATTCTAACACCAACCCGAACCCCGAGCCCTAACCCCAACGCACCACACCCCTAGAATACTGCACTTTCCCGGGAACTCTGGATTTCTTTTGTTTGGGTGAATTGCAAATAAAGTAATAAAGAGCGTTATGTCGTTTAATGTGGCTGAAATATTTTGTTTCGACTTTGCTGCTCAACAGCCTTGAATTCCTCCGCCATGTATTGTTCAATGTATAACGATCATTTAATGAAGACACGCCATTGGCTGGCTGGTTCCATTATGATTGCGCGACATTTGAAAAGCCTTAACTTCCATTTTTATTTAAATCGATTATGGAATACATTACGAGTATTTAAAGTCGGGGTATGATTGGCTGGTTGGTTTCATTGTGTTTATTCAACACCTGACCTACGTATAGTCAAAGGGTCTGCTGCAGCATCAAAAACTTCAAACAGAAGTCGCAACAATACGTGTGTTATTGATCTTCCATGTGCTTGTTTGGACAGGGAAATCAAAAACATTAGTACGTGGTTGCTTTTCCTACTGGACTATGTTCATGTGGCTATTTTCTCTGTTTCTCTCTCTCTCTCTCACCCCCTCTCTCTCTTTTACAACACTCTCTATCTCACCCCTCTCTCTCTCTTTTACAACACTCTCTCTCACCCCCTTTCTCTCTCTTTTACAAAACACTCTCTCTCACCCCCTCTCTCTCTTTTACAACACTCTCTCTCTCTTTTACAGCACTCTCTCTCACCCCTCTCTCTCTCTCTCTCTTTTACAACTTTCTCTGTCTCTCTCACTCCTCTCTCTCTCTCTCTCTCTCTCTCTCTCTCTCTCTCTCTCTCTTTTACCCCACTCTCTCTCACCCCTCTCTCACTCTCTCTCTATCTCTCTCACCCCTCTCTCTGTCTATGTTTGTGTGTGTGTGTGTGTGTGTGTTTATATGTAATAGTAAATTAATGAATCAAGACACTCTTCTTCTTCGCGTTCACTGTCTGAAAACTCCGGTGAAAAGATTTAAAAAAAACAGACTGAAATGGTTTGGTCACCTGGTCAGAATAAACTTGACGTCCCCAGCTGCAAGATGATAAACAGGAAAAAGAAACAGCAAGAAGTCAAGAAAAGACAAAAAGAACTTGAACAGATGAAGTAAACAACTTGCTGAAACTCAACAGTATCACCATCCTGCAAGCTAACGAGCCTGCAATATCCTGGAAAGGAATTAATAGCCGTGCCTGTGATGCCTAACAGCATTAGGCTGAGAAAGACAATAGATCGATAGATTACACTTTATGTATCGGCATTATTGAAATTCACTGAGGGAAGATATTGTTTTGAACACTTAAAACAACAAGAGTCGTGAAACCACAAGTCAGCTAAAAAGTCACAAGTAGATAAGCTTCAACATAGCTTTAGCTTTACACAACGGATCAACATCATGGCACACGGTTGTAACCTATAAGTGCTCTGTTCTACTTCTAACTCAAGCCAGGGTCAGAAAAATCTCAGCGCAGTGC